AATGCTGCCAAGAAGCAGGTCAAGATGTTTGGAAGACTCTTAAGATTTAAAGTATATGACACTTTACAATGACTATACCACACACGCACACAAACACACACATTTCTCTCCATATACAGAAAGTAATATTAAATTACGCTGAGATTTTACGTGATTTAAACACTGCTTTGCACTTCTAATAAAAGATTTGTCATGTAAAATCAGAGATGATATTCATTACCTCATAGAACTACCAGAAAAGAACAGCTCTCCTGTCAAGCAGTGTAAATACAGAAATTTTAAACTAGTGTATTATTTACAGACAAACAGTGTCCAAAAATTTCAATCTTGCAAAACTCTCTCTGACCCTTTGTAGGAAATCAGAAAAGTACATGATGTAGAAATAATTATCTATAAACAAGAAGGAATTATATTTAGATATACTAGTTAAACAACATAAAATATACATTAGCACTCTCTTCCAGAAAATGTCTAGACTAAAAAGTGAGAACTAGATAAACTATTCATGACATGGTGAATACTGAAAGTACTATTCAAAAAACATGAATATTGATAAAACAAAACGTGGTCTAAAAAAGTAATGTTTATATCATTACAGAAATACAAGTACTCTTCTATTCTTCTCAAATAGAACACCACATTCTATGTACATCACAATAACGAACTAAATTACAATTGAGCAAAAACTGAGAAATGCCTGATTACAAATCTCAACTTTAATGCTGACATCCTAATTTACAAGCTGGATTTTCCTATGCTACAATTAATGAGGCATGGAACCAAACAGTGTCATCTGACCTTATAATTCTACTTCAAAATTCTGTTTCACAGTTTTCATCCTTTTTTACCTTTCTTAAATCGAAGTACAGTTGATTTACAATGTTGTGTTAGCTTTCATATTTCTTAATATTGGCTTTAATATAAAATATTCAAGTTAACTCAGTATTTTTGATGTATTATTTCTGAAAAAGTTAAATACTTTTGGATTAAGGAGATGAATGAATATCAACTCAGATTCGATTGCTGAAAGGATAAACTATTTCTTTCATGTTGACAAAATGTGTTATTTTATAAGACATGGTAATGCCCAATAAAATGTGAATAAGATTTGAAAAAGCTAGGAGGTAAAAGGATCACAATCAGCAACTGTGTCGAGGGAAAACAGGATTACTTTTATTGGCTACTCTATCAACTTAACTTCTCATAAAATCCTCCTGATCTATTAAATAACTTCAGAACTGAAGTATGCTCTCCTATGGGAGCTGTAAAACAAATTAGGTACAATTACAATTCAATACAAATAAAAAACCAACCTATTTACCCTTAAGATGATTCTTGTTTTAGAAAGCTTTATCATTTATATTAGACCAGAATTTTCCCAAATGAATCAAGTGGGTCACTTGACATAATTACAGATTTTTATATTATGTATTCTACAGAGGAAAACAGTTGATATGAGTAAATTCTGGAAAACTGTGGTAACTACACCTCCCTAAAGTGAATACAACAAACATCTGCTGCAAGAACTGCTTGGCTTTCAGACAGTATGTAAAGGGTGTTCTTTTTCCCAGTGTTTTGTTATTACAAAAAAAAAAAAAAAGCTTATTTGTTAAAAAACATGTTTCTACTATTGAGTCTCAAAGCATAAAATCTTAAAATTCTGGTAAGTTAAACATAGGTCATTGCCAGGTAGGTATATCACAGAAAGGGAAACTATGCAATGCACAAGACTCCACTTGCTTTCTAAAAGGGCAACAAAATAATTGGGCATGTTGCCCTCTGTCAGTGGGTTACATAGTAATTTTAACCATTGTTCCTATCTTAACTTACTTCTCAACACAAACCTAGCAAAACTCACATCATAGAGGAGGGAACTAAATACATAACTTCCTGATGATTTTCATCCTCTGTTGGAATCCAAGTGATAATTCAGCTTTCTCCTTTGGATTTCACCGGCTCCTACCAGCTCCTAAGCTCAGTGGTAACCTGATATCCTCATTAAATGATAAATGAATTCTTAAAGTTTTACTCCAGTGACAGGATAAATAATTGCAACATTTTTGCATAATGCATTAAGCACAAAATGTAATAATTTCAATGGGAGGAGGGGAAGAATCAAGGAGCCTCTATGGCTCGTCTTTTCTTAACTGCATCAAAGAATTGTTCTGTGCTTCTTGGTAAACTGAATGCATTTCCCCTGATTCTGAAAGAACAGAATTAACCTACGATTCACAGGTATTCTTCAGAGTAAAACACCATCTTTTTAGTATTTGGAAATTCCACAAAGTGCACACAAATGAGCAGGTACAAATGAATAAAAATGTTTATAAGCAACAGAGCAGCGCACAGCACGTAATAATACCTTTAGGATCAGGTAAGAAAGTAATAAACAGTTGACGACTTCTCAACATATTTCAAGTAACACGTAACTTTGCTCACTTCTCAATCTTCTATCTCCTCTTCTACTCGTGCCTACTCCCAACCATTCTGAGGTTACTATTTATAAAGAAGTTTAAGATTCCATTTTTAGGCTAACAATAAGGTATAAACATTCCTAGGAGTACTGCAGCAAAGCATCATAATAACTACACTGAGAAACCTCTGCTGTTCAAGGAATGGGGAAAATAGGAAGCTTCCATGTCTTTCTCTCCCAAATCCAAAGTAAGTTTAAGCACTTCATTATGTTTCGATAAGTTCAAGATCTACAATGGAATTTGTTCATGGATTCAATTAGGGCAGTCTAAAATGTTAACATGCACCTGGCATAGTACGTGTTTATATAATCATAGGGAAAATGCTTTACATAGAGCAGTCCTCAAAATGGTATTTGCAAATTCCATCACAAGTCAAAATTTTGAGGAAAGTTCATTTAAAATGGATATGAGTAAAAAGGAAAAGTCAAAGTCACATATGTTCCAGTATATACAAGTTTAGAATAATTTTCAAAGTCTATCTATGATTACTCTACATTCACAACTTCTTACTAAAAGATGAATCACAAAAAGATAGCTGCCCTTTTCCTAGGAGAGACAGCCAGCCAACACCCACATGGCATACTCCAAAGCAATCAATTGTTAAAAGCTTCCTTTATTCAACGTAGCAGTCTTTAATTCCTATGGAGGATTACCGTGAGTCATATATTAGGTTTAAAGAACACATTAGTTTCTTTTTTTGATGTCTATGGAAACATATAAACAGTTTCTTAAATTAAAAAGCAAAAAAAAAAAAAATTATATTTTCCACAATGAATCTCAGAATACTAATGCATTTTCAGCAAAGCATCTTATAAACATAAACTAATCTAACATTCATAACTACCCATCAGTATACACTATTATATCCACTTTACAGACAGAAAAACTGGTGCTAAGAAGTTAAAAGATGTACCTGAGGTCTTAAGAACAGATCAGGAAGGCACCCAATTACAATGCTGAAGATCTGCACATTGATGACTGTCTAAATAGATTTATATTACTCTTTTTATCTTAATCACTGAATGTTATCCATAAGGTATTTCACAAAATCTAAAAAGGAAAAAGGTGCTAACTATTTAATTGAGTGAGGCAACTAAATATACACATAAGCTCTAAAGCTCTATTTAATGAGAAATCCTTGCCTTCTTTACTACTTTTCTAAAATAAATGACAATTCTCTAGATACAGTACCTCCTACACTTCAAATTAATCCCACTCACTTCTCATTTTTAAAAAATCACATTATTCCCATTTTACAGGTGAGAAGACAGGCACAGGGACAAAGCTATTTGCCCATGGGTCCCACACAAAGTGGGAGAGAGTCTGGAGTTAGAACATGTTATGTCCTGGGCTCCTCATCCATTTTCAGACTAAAGGGCAATGTGGTTCCTATTATTCCGAAGTCACTAAAAGAAGCACACAAGCTATCTACCTTACGTTTGGTAGTGTATATATGTCCACACCTCTCTTGCTTTGTCACAGCTTTGTCACTACCAAACGTAAGGTAGATAGCTAGTGGGAAGCAGCCGCATAGCACAGGGGATCAGCTCGGTGCTCTGTGACCACCTAGAGGAGTGGGATAGGGAGGGTGGGGGGGGGGGGGATGCAAGGGGGAAGAGATATGGGAACATATGTATATGTATAACTGATTCACTTTGTTATAAAGCAGAAACTAACACACCATTGTAAAGCAATTATACTCCAATAAAGATAAAAAAAAAAAAAGAAGCACACAATTTTTGAAGGGGGGGCGTGGGGGAAGTAATGAAACATATCCTGAAAGTTACAGGTGTAAAGGAATACATCAAAAGTTTTGATTTCACTATTCTTAAGGTTACAATTCACTATAATTTAAGTTTTGAAAGCTATTCACATATCTTATTACTTTAGTACCATGAATCAGAAACTCTGCTGACACTGATTATCTGCCCAGAATTAGTCTCATGCTTTTATAGGAAAGATACAAGCTAAGAAATGAAATTAAGTATGGAAGATAAAGAATGGGTCCATACTAAAAGGTATTTGCTGGCATGGAACTTGCAAGATAAGACATCACTTTTCAGCCTGGCTGATTACAGAATAGGACCCATTGCTTCTCGTCCACAGTGAGCATTTCAGAGGGACAAGAACATGACATTTGAGGGCAAGTGATGCATGGTAATACGCACGATGCAATCCTTGAAAAGAAGAATGAACTAAGTAAGCTGTCGAGGTAAAAAAAAAAAAATGTTAAATGACCAGGCCTTTAGCCCTTTAAAATAGATGAGAAATACATTCCTATAAATCCTTTAACTTTTGCTAAACAGTTAAAAAAAAATCTATGGTCTCCAAGTGGGGTTATGGGTGTGAATAATAATTTTTATCAGATTGATATAGGCTTTCTGTTTTCTAAAAAAACTTAGGTTTCATGTTGCAAAACAGTATAACGAGCATATCTCCAATTACAGGAATCTTTTCAGACTCCAACATGGCAGCAAAAGTCAACAAACAAGAGAGACAAAGAGCTGTTGCCTTAATGAGACATACCTCTTGTACTGATCGAGCAGCTGGCTTGTCTTGATGATTGGCCAATATTAAAAACGGTAAAGTGCATAACTGTGGGTGCTGAAGAGCTGAGTGCAGTTCATTTCTAGCAGTCTCTAAATCATCTTCTGAAGAGGCACTGTCTAATACAAATATTACCCCTTGAGATCCTTGGTAGTAGCGGCTCCAGTATTTCCGGATATTATCAGCCCCTGTCAAAAACAAAACAAATTCTCTTTTTAAAAACAGCTTTCAGCAACTGAAAAAAGTTCCCAACAGTAATTTCCTATTGGAAACCAATGCGGCTTTAAAAATTAAGTGCGGGGCTTCCCTGGTGGCGCAGTGGTTGAGAGTCCGCCTGCCGATGCAGGGGACACAGGTTCGTGCCCCAGTCCGGGAAGATCCCACATGCCGCGGAGCGGCAGGGCCCGTGAGCCATGGCCGCTGAACCTGCGCGTCCGGAGCCTGTGCTCCGCAACGAGAGAGGCCACAACAGTGAGAGGCCCGCGTACCGCAAAAACAAAAACGAAAACAAAACAAAAACAAACAAATTAAGTGCGGAGATCACAGATGATGAGAACAAAGGCATTAGAGCCAATGGGTGGATATGGCCTTGAAGGAGAATACTAAAGTTTAAGAGTCATTCTTCATGCTTTTCTTATCAAAATATGGAAGAAAGAATCAGCATAAGTACTTCTTAGACTTAAACACAAAAGAATGTTTTCAGATTTTGCTTAACAGTCCTGAAAAAACTACCCTCTCTACAGACTGAATTAGAGCCTAACTCAGAGAGCAGAATAACCAAGCTGTTCACCAAGGGTTCTCTCCATACCATTATCCTGTTGACATTTTCTGAGAACTGTTTACACTGATCAGGACAGCCTTGTTTAATTTATCCAGAAAGTTAAAACTATTAGCACAATACCTTTATGTGTCAAAGTGCTAAAGTTTGTAATGATGTGAAATCTTGGCCTTTGGTACATCTGCATAACACCGTCTGGCAATGAGCACACTCATGGCCTCAGTCTGATGGGATGTTCATAGAAAAAGATATTGAGATGCTCTTCAGCCAGGGCCAAGTCTTATTCCTTGTCATATTTCCAATATCTAGCATAATGTACAACTCAAAGTTTGATACAGGAATGAGGAAAATGAGGGAAGGAGGAAATGAAATTATACACTAATTAGGCTTCCAACTCTGAGGAAACTGGGGCCAAGAGAGGTGAAGTGACTTATCTCCATTCATGTGTATAGCAAATCACAAACTTGAGATCTGTGTCTGAGTTAGTAGGCAACTTGCCCAGGGAGGGCATGGGTATTTCCCATTACATCATGATGAATATTTCTTTTTCTCTGATTCATGAATAGCATGGGCAATTTTTGTACATATGTGTGTATTGCAGTGGGGGGGACTTACATAACCAATACAAGTTATTGGTTACATAACAAAAATTAGGTATCAAGGAATTTCACCAATTTAGGGCATATAATCAAGTTCTGACCACTCAGTAACTATATTTTAGGTAACTCTTGAACATCTAGCTCCTGTGGTGGATATACTGTGCTGAGTGTTAGGGATTCAGAGTAGAGACTGGAGTTGGTGTGCCAATTGTGTGTCTCTTCCCAACACTGTTCAGTGACATCATTTTGGTAGCTTGAAAATGGACAGGGTAGGAGTATTTTTCACCAAGAAAAATCAGCAAAAGCTATCTGTCAGGTCTTTTCTTCCCCTGGAGAGCCAATATACCACTAGATGACACTGAGAAGCTCATATTTTTCTGGGAGAAATAGAATAAAAAACAAAGATTATAATAAAGAGTAATAAAGCACTGTGATAAAGGAACTTATTAGGGTTCTCTGGGAACAAGGGATGAGACATCTTATCCAGACTGGGCAAATCTCTTACAAAAGTAACATAAACCAAACAACTACCATTTATTAAGAACTTCTACATTCCAGGCACAGAGCTAAGTATTTAAAAAAAAAAAAAAATAGCTCATACAATTCTTACAACAATCCTAAGAGGAAGGTGTAACTGACTCAGGCTTTGAAACTTATTTTGAGATGCTAAAATCTGGGGTATTCATCAAAATACTATGAGAAATAACCAGGGATATAATAAGAACAAGGGCATTTGATGTTGAGCAACCTAAAATATGTAAAGACAGGGGATATGAGCGGGGTTAATGCCTATCAGGCAGCGTCCAACCAAGAAAGCAAAACAAAGAGAGGAAATTTAAGCCAGAGATTATTTAATATAGGGAATTAGTTGCATAAGTGATGGTGGAACTAAGAAAACAATAGGGGCACTGAAATTAGCAACATCTTAGGTCAGGTACCCTACATGCAGAGCCTGAGACGGCATTTCTTAAACACCTGAGCATAGACAGAGTGCTGTCAGGAGAAACAAGAGTGAAAGAAGCAAGCCAGAATGGGGGAAGGAGCTACACAAAGATATGGTTTCAGAAATCTAGCCTCAGTCTGATCCAATGAGCAGTTCTAGAACGTGGACTGAACCACGGAATTTGCCCCATCCAAAAGGCAAGGGGGCTGGGCTGTTACACCCCTGAACAGTCATTGGCTCTGAGCCACCCCTGGGGAACAGGAGAGGGGGCTGGGGCATGATCTCATAATCTCCCCAACATACTTGGTTGAGGCAATTACTGTCAGCCAAGGGCAGGCCTCTGGAGAAGGGTACAGGTGTGAGTCATTAGCAGCCAATACCCGCAGCAGCTGGGAGATGGATGCACTGGCCCAGTAAAGGAGATCTGGGTAGGGTACCAACAACATCTGCTACAGGCTACATCCAGACATTATCCATATGGGAGAGAAACATCCATAAGCTTGAAGAACAAAAGTAGGGACAGTGTTACCTGGTGGTAAATGTTTAAAATAACAAAAATGCTGTGCGCACACGTATCCATACACAAGCTTTTTATACATTTTACCTACATAAAGGACGTGTAGCACACAATTTTCATATAATAAGAATATATGCAACATGCTTTATCATAAATTCTATAGACCTCATTAGTGCTCACAGAATGCTTTCATTGATTTCGCCAAACTTTTGTATCCATAGCCAACCAGCAGTTGAGGTTGACCAACTCCAGTTCTGAAATAAATGTTGGTTGTGCTAAGTGTTTACATGTAGTAAGTCACTGGCCCATGACAGTCTTATGAAGTAGGTACTTTTATCACTCTCATTTTAACAATAAGGAAATCAAGACACAAAACAATTACATAATGTGTCCAAGGCTAAGCAACTAGGAATATATTTAGGTCTACTGTGATTGAAATACAAGGATCATCGAACAGAAAGGTGACAAAGCTAAATAAAGAACTCTACTACCACATAAGCCAAGAGGGGGAAAAAGGGAACCTGTTAGAATAAAAGGTACCTAAGTGCTTATATATATTAATGCTTAGAGTGGGAACCTGCCCAAGAACATTTCCCAACCAATTAATTCAATGAATAGTATTACTCTCTATTCTATACAAGTCACTGAGCTAGGACCAACAAGAAGTATTTAGAAAGCCATTATTCTTCTTAGCTCAAACCCTCAAAGCCTGTAAAGTAATGCTGATTACAATGAGGTCTGCAAATGTATGAAAGGAAAAAAACATGGCCATAGCATTGGAGGGTATCCAGGGAGTCAAGTATAGGAGAAGAATACTAGATGTATGATTTAATGGAACTTGTTCACTGGAAATATGTGGGAATACTGGAAATCCAACTTGTGAAGTCGTCTTTCAACAAGAAACTATTTTCACCTGTCACATTTAGGAGCCCATAAGGAACCTAGTGAGATGAAATGACAGTCCCAGGACTGTGTTGGTGGATGAAACAAACCCAAATACCATAACTTTTTAAAATGCCCTGTATACGACATAATATATGAATGTTATTAATATTGCAAAGACCCTTTCCTGCTACACAGTCATCTGCCCAATCTTAGCATTTCTGACTTTCATCACAAGCAGTGAGCTTGGAATTGTAAGTTTCAGTTCAGCCTCCCACACAACAGCTTTAGTGAGTAGCAGCCTCAACCCAGATCAGGGCCAAGGACACCAGGAACAGGGTGGTGGTGGGGGGATACAGCTGTTCAGTCCAGCTGAGTGGGCCTTAAGTTCACTCACCAACTTCAAATGAGAAATGGATGTGTCATCCACCCAGCTGCCAGGTGCTTTGAGAAGTGAGCCTAACTGGGGAAATTTGGAACACCTGTTTGATTGCCCACATCCCAGCATTCCTAACCTACAAACCAAATCCACACGGGGTAACACACACAGGACAGCATATCTAGCAGCAGTCTGAGCCTGCTCTTGTTCTAATGACTGGCAATTGTGTGCTCTGTGTCCCTGAAATTACAATTGTTACATAAAAAGGATAAATACCAAACTCAAACCTGATCTATACTTTGTTCATTTAGATTAAAAATCAAAGGGGTTGTCTAAACAGTAGAGAGCTTGGGTGGAAGGTTCTGCCGAATGTCTTCATTACCCAAGATCTGAGATCTCCTTACTGAGGGTTGTAAGGAAGTCTTGGGAATCTAAGAGTTCATTCTGAGAGCCAATCAATTAGGATAGCCTGGTTCAAGGTACCACAACAAGAGCAGTGATAGAAGACAGGGGCATAATGTCCTCATTGGGCAGGTTCATTTCTATGGCACACCATGTACTTGTTAATTCATTAATTCATTCCTTTAATGGATATCTACTGAGCACCAGGCATCGTCTTAGGTGCTGGGATACAGAAGTAAACAAAACAAGACCAAACTTTCAGTCTTCATAAGGCTTACATTCTTTACCAGCAGAGCCAGTCTACCATTATAGAGGTTAAAAATGCCAGGTACTTGTATTCCCAGCCTCTGTCTCCTGCAGCATGGACATCTGATTCAGTTCTGGCGAAACAGGACTCGACAAAAGTCTGCTGGGAGCTTTTGGAAAAGATTTTGCTCCTCATTAAAAAGATAGATGCCCAAAGAGAGCCGCCTCTTTCTTCTACTGTTTAGATTTCATTAGGTGATCAGGTGATGCTTTGAACAGTGTTAGCCTCCTAGCAACCTTAAAGGAGACATACCAACATATTGAGGACATCAGAATAGAAAGACAGAAAGAACCTGGGTCCTTGAGAACAGTGCTGAGCAGCAGAACTTATCCCCAGTTCTGTATTATAAGAACTCATTCTGTGAGCACAGTACATGTCAAT